GAAGGAAGGAAGGAAGGAAGGAAGGAAGGAAGGAAGGAAGGAAGGAAGGATTTTCCATCTTTCCCTTTTGCTTCAAAGAGATCTAAAGACCTAATTGCAATTTACCATTCCTCCATTTTGCATATGCACAACACCCACAGGAGCCAAGGAATATCTACAATTGTCATCAAGACTGCTCCCCTGAGGCGATGCCAATAAAGGTATCAATTGGCCACTGTCAACTACCTATAGCTTGGAGGAGAGGAAGTTGTGACCAAGCCACATCCAAGCCAAGGGAAGGGAAATAAACCACCCTCCTCGGCGTGCCCTGCCAAGGCAGCCCTTTTATAATAAACACATATTTGCAGGAACAAACCAAAGCTTTGCAGCTGGGAAATTTGACTACTTAGGATGGCACAAAAGGGTGAAGAAATTTAACACAAGGATTATAAGCACACAGCATGCTTGGCCCATTTATTGTTGCATATTTCCACCAGCTTGAATCTGCACCATACATTAAGCCACCCAAAAAAAACCAAACCAGGTTTATGGTGCCGTGCAGATGCAACTGCTAGGTTGTAAATGATTTGGTTAAGTATCCTGTGAGAACAGAGCCAGTGGTGGGATTCAATTATTTTTTTACTACCAGTTCTGTGGGCATGGCTTGGTGGGCATGGCAGGGGAGGGATACTGTAAAATCTCCATTCCCTCCCCACTTTGGGGGGAAGGTTACTCCAAAATCCCCACCCCACTAACCTGCTTTCCAGATCCGTTCTCCTGTGCAGGGCAACCAAAGGAGACCCAGCCGATCAGCTGGGATTCAATGGCAGGCGGAGAATAGATGGGGGCGGGGCCAGTCAGAGGTGGGATTTGCCGGTTCTCCAAACTACTCAAAATTTCCACTACTGGTTCTCTAGAACTGGTCAGAACCTTCTGAATACACCACTGAGCAAAGCCAAGGTGTAAGTTTAGCCATTATGAACCGTGAGTAACCAGCCTTATTATTCTGATATCATACAACAGCCTCCCCCAACCTGGCCTGTATTGGATTGGGATTGCAGGACTTGAAATCCAGCACATCTGGAGGGCAGCAACTTGGGAGAAAGCTAATCTGTACTATAAAATCTACTGGGCCAAACTGGAACTGATTAGAAAAGGAATGGATTATGGTGGGCTAACAGTTTGATCTCATGGTTAAGGCACAGGCTAGAAAACAGGAAAATTGAGTTCCAGTCCTGCCTTTGGCACAAAAGCTGGCTTGGTGATTTTGGGTCAGTCCCACTCTCTCAGGCCAACCCATCTTACAGGGTGGTTGTTGTGGTTGTTGTTGGGAAAATAGGAAGCAGAAGGAGTCTTAAGTACGTTTGGCACTTAAGGTATTTATAATAATAATAAAGGCAAAATAAAAAACCTAATATTTAAAACAATCTGTCCACAAGATCAGGTTATAGCACAGTACAAATGAGAACTCAATTATGTCCCTTTGTCTATAAAACCATCAACACACATGAGTCTTTGCCAACTTAAGACACGCAGGAAGGAACTTGCAATCCACATTCAGCAGTGGGTGGGAGAGACAACGAAGAAAAAAAAATGAGAGAAGAAATACGCATGAAAGCAAGGTTAGATCTGGCCTTCACTTCCAGTGAG